GGGTAGAAAAGCATTGTTTGCTTTGAAAAAAAAACTAAAGGGTTCGTCTCTTAATCATGAAACTTTGTTACCACTTTTTAATTGCTATGTTTGAGGTATTGTTAATTATGCATCAGAAATCTGGGGAACTCATAAAGGGGACAATGCTGAAAAACTTCATCTTGATTTTTGTAAGCAAATACTAGGAGTTAAAATGCAGCTGTTTATGCTGAGTTAGGTAGACTTCCTCTGTTGTATAAAAGAATGTTTTTAATGATAAAATTTTGCAGTAATGTATTAGCCAGTGATAAATGTATTATTAGAAATTGTTATGAGAAAATGTACATTAACTGTGAATCTCATGCACAAAAAACTAGGCTTTTCAGGTGAAGAAATGCTTAAATGATCTTGGTTTTAGTGAAGTTAAGGGATAAACAACAAATTAATACTGCTACATTAAAATTTATGAAACAAAGGATCTTAGATCAGGCTAAACAAGAAATATTTGCCAAGATTGAAAGTTCGCAGAAATGTTCTTTCTATAAATATCTACTTGATGGGTTTTACCTACAATATTATTTTTAAAAAATGTATATCAAAGTTAAGATTATCCTCACACCTTTAAGCTATTGAAACTGGGAGATACAATAAAACTAACAAAGCCCAGAGGAAATGTTTTTCGTGTCATACTTGTGTTGAGGATGAATATCATTTTATGCTAGCATGTTCTGTTTATGCAGATTATCGAAACAAATTTATTAAAAAAATATTTCTTTCAAAAACCATCCATGTTTAAATTATTGCAATTATTCAATACAGAGAACTATAAGGATATGTGTAACCTTGGTAAATATATTTATTATAGCATGAGGCGAAGAGATCTTGTAATCCAATAATTGTAATATTTTCCTTCTTTTTATTTCACTATTACCAGTATTTATGTACGTACACATTGTTCTCCTGTAAATTATCCACTTCTGTACTGTATCCGATTGTATATTGTATTATATTGTATATACTGAAAAGCTGTAAAGCTTAAAGTAACAATAAAGAAAGTATATGGTAATATGTATGTACAGTTTTTTTCTATTCATCTAAATATTAATAGAAGACTTTGTCTAAAGTAAGTAAGTAAAGAATAATCATTTAATTTAAAGCAGGTGGTTCAAAGTGTGATTAATTACAGAAACAATGCTTTTCGAATCAGTTTTATATTTTATGTCCATTAAAAAGCATCTTCGGCTTTCCATCGTAAACGTCAATTTATATCATAAAACAATGTGAATGTGTTCCTTAGTTATTTCTATACGACACGTGATCTCCCTTAAATACTCTCTATTATAGATGAATTCAGCCTATTAAGGAAAGGAAATTCAAAATTTCTATTGATATAAAAATGTTATTTTCATTTTCATTCGTTATATTTTGATTATTGCTCTCACGCTTATGGAGTCGCAGTCATAAGTAGACCTTGGTTGTATTTTCCTTTTTATATACAGAACAAGGTCGACATTGTGAGTGACACTGAAATCAAGGAGAACATGAAGATCAAGTCTGGAGACGAATGGATAAACTATCAATTTACTAAAGTAGTGGATGGCAACACCATGACAACGGTGTGTACTAATACTGGTATACTGAAAATATTGTTGATCATTTTTTTCCTAAGTGAGAGATCATCAGTTTATTTGGAACACTTAATTATCTTAATTGCAATCATACTGCAATCTAAGATTAATTCTATCATTTGTCCTTATCAAGTATTTTATATAATTTTGTTCATTAGACAAGTATATAAAAAAAAACCTTTATTTATTCTTAGACAATGACTGCCTTCGGAAAAACCTTGATAACTAAGTCTACACGTCAATAGATCTCGATATGGAATCAGAAATTACCAAGATATAGTATTCAACATTTGAGCCGATCAAAAAGCAGCGCACATGCAATTACGATGTGTACCTGCATGTACCAAGCTTTGAATGATTAAATATATAGAATAATCCCCTATAATACCACTTACTTTGTTATAAACAATTATATACAAAGATAATACGACTTAACTAATTACTCTGTAATATTAAATACTCTATTAAATTTTAGTTTTTTTTTTTTTTTTTTTTTTTTTTTTTTTTTTTTTTTTTTTTTTTTTTTACAATATTTATATTAAAGCTGGAACAATTTGTATACAATCAGGGGGTCAACATCTTTTCTTTCGTATAATCCTGATAAATATTACTTGGTTGTGATTCTTTATTTTTTATTATTGGAATGTCTTTTCCCATGTAAAAGCAAAATTATTTATTGTCTTTGTCTTGGCCTGTTATACAAGGAGAGGGTGTGCATAGGCTTTGCCTGTTGCCCAATCCTTCTTGAATTGTTCAATAAGATATGTTTAAAGTATAATACGTCTCTCCTGAAACTGAAAGACATCCAAAAATCACTAGGGGTTCTTTATACCATGTACATGTGATTTGATGATTTGTCAAAAAAAAAAGAAACTGTTTGGCGATTTGAAATGTGACAAAAAATGGTATAGTTTAATTCTTTAGCAGGAAAAAAACCATGAATGTCTGAGTTTGATTACTCTTTCAATTTATGATTTTTTTTTAAAAGCAACTGTATACACCTTTGTGGTAAAATGTCTATGCAGAGTAGAAACAAAAGATTTTTGTATAAAGAAAGATCGAAGCAATGATAATTAACAACATTGTTAAAAAAAAATAAAACATTTGAGAATGTATCTGAATAACCCGGTATATGATGAAATCAATATTGCATTTTATACATTTATATACATTCATTCTCATCAACATCTATATCTACATAATTATGTACATGTAAGATATAAAATAATGTAGAAGTCAATTAATGAAAGTTTATTGAATTTCAAATTTTATTGTAAAATTTTTATATGTCATTTTAGTAAGTAGGAAAATTTTTTATGGAAGTAGTAAATAAGAATCCAGCATAACTAGTGTATGGACATTAATGTTTTGTTTGCTGTAAGATTCTGAATTCCCCTTTATTCTACGAAAATCATTTTGCTTTAACCCTTACGAAAACACTATAGTTTACTATAGTTAACTATAGTGAAAACTTTGACACTTTGATTTACTATATAATGCTAACTATGAAAACTTTGATTTACTATAGTGATCAATCACTATGAAAACTTTGATTTACTATAGTCATAGCTATGACACTATAGTGATAACTATAAAAACTTTGAAATACTTTAGTGATCATTATGAAAATTTTAATTTCCTAAGGTTATCAATCTAATATGCATTATATCGTTGTATATAAGATAATAATGCTATATGCTATACATCTTGTTTGATGTACTGATGTGCTATAAATATAATTTGATTTAGTAATATAAAAAAAGACCAAGTACAATGAAAGACAAAGAATATTCATTTTAGAAATGCTTAGCCAGTAGCAGACATTGAAAAACATGAGGTTTCAAAAAGAAACACTAAAAATAAAATTTAATATAAACTGTACTGCATGCAACGTGCATGGAATTATTTGAAATACAAGGCATCAACAGATAACTTTGTTAAAATGAGAAAATTTGTAATAATGGATATTACCTATCTTATGCAATTAATGTGGAATTAATTGAGACTTCTATCACAGAACATTATATACAGTTGTGATAAATCTTTAACTGTGATTTACTTTGACACTGATTTACTATAGTGATAACTTTCAAAACTTTGATAAACTATAGTGATAACTTTCAAAACTTTGATTTCCTATAGTGATAACTATGACACTATAGAGATAACTTTGAAAATTTTGATTACTTTAGTGATCATTATGAAACTATAGTGATAACTTTGCAACCTTTGATTTAATGTAGTGATAAATTTGAACACGTGTATTTGATTATATTGATTCAAGAGATAAATAAGAGAAAAACTCCTAATATTTAAGTATAGTTTTCATATATTTTTATTTGAAAAATTTCATCATTTTAATCTTCTTGATAAAGAAGCTTTGAAAAATGTATATAAAAAAAATATTCCAACACACAATACCAAATTCTAATGGCAATATCATTCTTTAAGGAAAGCTTTTATAAAAGAAAATAAAACTTTTCTTCCGCTTTTCATAAGGAATTCTTCACGGTAGATTTATTTTTTTTTTATCTTTCCCTATGATTCAAATAAGAATAACTTTATTAATACTTAGATAAGATAAAAATATTATCATTTAGGTAGACACTTAATTTTGAGAAGAGGAAGAATTTATTATTAGAATAAAAGCTATTTGTTGCACGAAAATATAAGAATGAGGTTAGAATAGAGATAAATAAAACCAATAAATTCAAATGTTCAGTTTAAAAGAGAAATCGTAAAAGCAGAATATGTTCGATAACATTATAATGAAAGCAGAAAAATTACTTAAGACGATATCATTATTTACTTCTTTTTTTTTATTGTAGATCAATATTGCTTTCTATAACATTTAGTGTAAAATTTCCCGTTAATTTTACCTGTGTAGCTTAAAAGGATAATTTGCTTCCTTAAGGGTTAGGTAATTTTAAGGTAAAAATAATGCTGTAACCAGACATAAAAACACATACGCTCAAAATACATTTACTTGAGCTTACAAAAGAATCAAAAAATTAAATTAAATTAATAAATAAACAAATAAAAAGGAACAATGTAAAACAAAAATAAAGTTGCCTTACAGATTATGGAATATTTGATTTGAAGATTTTGTTCATACTGTATGAAAAGCATTTTCACTCTTTTCATATTTTATTTGAAGGAAAAGGCGAGTCAAATATGACAAGCACAAATCATGATCAACCAAAGAATTACATTGTAATTGTCTGTTATTTATAAAGAAACACAATAGAATGAATGAAAAATCACTTTACTTTGTGTGTGTGTGTGTGTGAGGGTGTGTGTGTAATATGAATATATAATTTAAAAAAAAAATCAATAGATTCTTCATTTGTACAATTCGGTCACATGTGCACTCATCGTGACGAATGGGATATTTATTCTGAGATACACAATTTTATAGTTGACTGTTTTCATTCCTTATCAAAACAGTCGAATATACATGTAAGTAATACTGAATTAGTGATGCTTCTTTTTAGAATTATCTGGGTTTTATTTGATATTAATCCTAGAGTTTTTAATTCATATTCATTTTGTGTGATGCTTTCATGGTCCTTTGCAATGTGCAAAATGGTCCAGGAAATACAAAAAAGAAAAGAATTTCATTTTTTAACTGCAACTTGTTAATGAAATCTGGGTTGGCAAAAAAATAGAATACATCTGGAAATATTAAAAATTACAGAAATAAAATGATTATTATTTATTATAACTTACTTTGAAATTGTACATGTATTACATTTTTCAAAATGACCATTTATTGGTATAAATACTTTTACTTTCGTTTTGAGATATCAAATTATACTCGTTGACAAAAAAATGATAAACATTTATACAGCTCAAAATCTTTTTTTAATCTAATATGTGTTTAAGAAATAATAAAATAAGAATATTTTAGAAATATATATATTGTACTTAATGGGGCAAACTCAATATATGATGAGTTTCAAAAAAAATCTTTCACTTTTATGATTTTTTTTCTCTAGAATTGAGTTGCTTCCCTTTCTGCACGAATAACAGCCTATATATATTTCGCTATGTTTCCTATCGGTTAGGATTCAACGAAAAGGATTTGTTCATTTTATAAGTATTATGACAAGACTCTAAAAGCACTAGAGGGTTTCTCAAATGAGATGTAGTATTACAGAATTGAAAATATCAAATGAATACTCATTTGAAGAGATTTTTAATTGAACTCTAGCACGCGTCAAATGATTTGATGATACCTTTAAACAACTAAAGATATCTTGAATTATTTGAGTATTTGTTCAGTTGGCTCTCCAGAAACAAAAGACCTGTTTTGAAAAAGATTGAGTAAACGAGAGAGAGAGAGAGAGAGAGAGAGAGATTAAAAATAAAGAGAGGCACATATAAATTGACAGTATAAATGGTGATAGAATATGAAGTTTGATCATTTTTTTAATCAGTTCCTTGAGGTTTAGTTTTAGATCTGTAGTTCTCTGTAATCTGAAACTATCAAGGTGATGAATTAATAATGGTACATAATCAAAATAATTCCTCAAAATGTAATAAAGAGAGCAGATAATTGACAAAAGAAATAAAATTTAATTGAAATACATGTATTAAAACAGAAAAAAACGGTGATAATTATTTTGAAATGTTTGTATCATTGATACTATCTTGTCCAATTTTCATAAGTATATAAAGATAGTCATGTTGTATATTTTATTTGAAAAATAAACTAAATCATGATGGACAATGTATTATAAATAAATATTTTTTTTCAATAATTGGTGGCGTTAGAAATAAATATATATCAATATATAAAAGTTTGATGGTGATATAGGAACATATTACGAATAATTTAAGAATTATAAACTCCATTAATACGAGGGTCGTTCAATAAATAATGCAATAGGTCATTTAAAAGTAAGAAAAATGCGTAATACATATTCTAAACATTTTCAATCCCTTAAAGCAATCCTTGTCAGCCTTTATACGTGTCTGTCTTTGTACCCATGACCAGAAAACCTCATCATACCCATCTTTAGGGATGCCCAAAAGACACTGATGAAATTCACTTTCCATGACATATCTAATATTGTACAATCTTCCTTTGATTGTTTTCATGCATTTTCAGAATAAAAAGATCTCACAATGGCTAAGATCTCGCGAATATGGGGAATGGCAAAGCTCTGTAAACTTTCTTTTCAGAATTTCATTTATTTTTCTGTGCTTGTTTGCAACAGCGTTGCCAGGTGCAAGAAAATTACCCTGGGAGCCGTATTTGGACTTCCTTTGCAGGAAATCTGTTTATCTTTCCTCAGTGTAATTTGAACATAAAAGTTACCATTGATGATCCTTCCTTTGGGTGTATCTACATGTTTTGCTGGACCTCTTGAAAAAAATAAAACTAATAAAACATGCATGGAGTCCTTGTTTTTCTTTACAATGATAAGAACGATAGCTTTTTCTCTGATTCCACATTTTATTATTGTTCTTCCTTTTTTGGCTATAATAAATGCACCCATGTTTCGTCATCCATCACGGAAATTTAACAAATCTTCTATTTTGTTAAAATATTTGTTTTTAAGTAGACCGTTGGTACATTTAATGAGTATTTTTCGCTTAGGCAATTTTGAGAAAATAAGGCACATATCTGATAGAGATATTATTATATTCATTTCCGTTGTCAGAATTCTATAAAATGTTATGTCGATGAAATGCTTAGTGTTCTAGCAAGTCTTTGGATGTAAATCTGACATTATTTTTCAGATATCATGTTGCACATTGCATAGATAATTTTTGGTTTCCAAACAAATTTCAATCGACCAGTTTGACTTTTATATTTTAACTCTCTTTTTTTACTTTTGAATTTCTGAATCAATCTGAAAACTACACAGTGTTAAAGACTGTTCTTTCCAAATATAAAATCATATCTTTAATATGAGTTCTTCGGCGATTTATGTAAAGAAGCACAGTTTTCACATACGCTCTCATTTTCATCTCATTGAAAGAGATCATTTGAAACTGTTTTCAGCTCAGTGTAGTGACCATGCATACTTTAAAAGTGAATTTCTTTGCGAGGAAAATAGAAAAAATCATGGGGTTTTCAGTGATTAGGAGCTCTTTAATTGAACGTTTCAACTGTGAAAAAATAAAATCAAATAGATCTATATATACTATGATATACTGCTTGTTGCAATATTTATTGAACGACCCTCGTATATTATATATATATATATATATATATATATATATATATATATATATATATATATATATATATATATATATATATATATATATATATATATATATATATATATATATATATATATACAAATGTATGTGTGTGTGTGTGTGTGTTTGTGTGTGAGAGGGTGTGTGTGTGTGTGTGTGTGTGTGTGTGTGCCACCTACAGCCCCCGGTCACGAATTTGAAGAAATTTGAATCTACACTACTTGAGTATGCTTCCATCTCAATATGACTAATCATGCCTTTGCTGTTCCTAAGAAGAAAGTTTTCAAGATTTTTTTCCCTAAATATTCCTTTGAAGAACTTTGATCGCCCACTGTGGACCCGTCCTTCCCCTAGCTGGAGCTCATGACTTGATCAAATTTGAATTTACGCTACCTGAGAATGTTTTCATATCTATATGTTTAATCATGCCTTTGCTTTTCTTGAGAATATTTGTTTTAAAATTCCAATTAAGAACTGCGAACGATAGTATTGTTCTCTCGCCTACATGTACCTCCAAGTCTATTTTTAAAAGTTAACACATTTGAATGATTTTCATATTTATATAGAATTTATATAAAATTTTTCAACATTACTTCTCTGGGAAAACAAAGAGAGATGACTCTATAATTTTGGTAAAAGTTGTGTTTTTCACTAAAGAAATCAACGGAAAACGGAAAATATTTTCAAAACATCTTTCGCCCCCGTGAAACAAAAATTCCTCTTTTTATTATGGCTGAAATATTGCCAACTCGGCGTTAAACAATCAATCAATCTACCCTTTTACAGGTAATGTGGACTGCCATTTCACAAATTCATGCCAATTTTTTTGTGTTTCACAGGGGGACCATATGTTTACAGACAAAAAAACCTACAAAAATGCTTATTTTTCACCAATATCAAAGGGGTTTTAAACTAAAACATTGTATTTTATCAATTCTATATGTTTAATTTTATATGTGTAAAACCAAAAAAAAAAAAAAAGATTCAAGGAATATTTGTTCATATCCAAGAATATTTTAAAATGTGGTGATGCTATAAAGCCCGATTTTAATTGAAAAAAATACCGTCTACCTTAACACTGGTATTAAATTATCAGTCAATTACCATTGAACTGTTCTTTGCATTCAACAAAGATTATACGGCCTAATTGCCATTGAATTATATGGGTGTAAAATGTAGGTGGGAATCGAGAGTTGGCGTGCGTAGTTCTTTCAATGTAAAACTTTGATCACCCATGTTGCCCCACCCTATTCACAAGGGTTTGAACAAACTTGAATGTACATTAGGTTTTAAACTTTCACATAAGTTTTAATTTCTCTTGCTAAGTGGGTCTTGAGAAGAATAATTTAAGTTTTTTCTCATATTCCTCCTTCTTTCCTACATGTTCCTCTATAAATTTAACTCCCATTTTGGTCCCACCCTATCCCATGGGGTCATGATCTGAACAAACTTGAATCAAAACTAGGTAATGAAGCTTTCGCATGTTTCAACTTTACTGACTCAGTGGTTCTTTGAAAGAAAAATTTTGGAAGATGTCATGATATTGATACTTATTCTTAATACCCTTTCAATGTGGGGGTGGTTCTTCGTTTGTACGAACTTAAATCCACTTCACCCAAGAACGCTTTTTGGCAGGCTACATATAGGTTAAAATTGGCTAAATAATTCTTGAGAAGTCGAAAATGCTAGAAGTTTACAAAGGGCGGACAGACGACGCCGGAAAAAGTGTGATCAGAAAAAGCTACTAAAGCTTGTATTAGTGCTTTTAAGTAAATCGTCATTCTTTCTTTACGATGCAAAGTTAACGTAAAGAAATCAGTTTCACACATTGAAAATTGGTGTTCTGCTTTATTGCAGCATACATATTTGGGGTATATCAAACAAAAGTTGAGAGGGATTATAAAGCAAACAGGATTGTGATGCAAAACATTTGCAAATGAACGATGCACATTAAACGAGATAGTAATTAAAATTGGTCTGTGTACAATGTAACACTAATTATTCTTGAAGACAGGGGATTAGCAGAATTATATTCCCAAGACCATTTTGCAGTTATGCAAGTGTGTATATCGGAAATTTTCGTAAAATTTACCCAGGCATTTAAATTTGTACAATACTGTCCAAATGATGATATATTCTAAACAAGAGCATCTGAACTTGTGCTTCTGATGCAGAACATTAGGATCTTTCATTCTGTATTCTGATTGTTTTCACGCTTTGTTTAGATAATATTATATATTATATCTATGAAGGAGTATAGTAGGGACTTTGAGCTCAGTTCGATCAATTTGAGAAATTCGTAAGTCTCACTGTATACTTCAAATCAAATCTGAGTTAAGATCAATTCATTAAGTATACATGTATATTCCCAAATTAAAATTACAATACTTACTATAGGACATACTTTAGCACTTTGATTTAGCTAGAAATTTTACTAAACTTTTTTTTTAGATTAAGAGCCTCGGTATCTTTAAAATTCCATAGTAATGATGTTAATTTTAAAAATATTTACATGTGAAAATACAAATAATATTTCCTTTTTCATATATAAAAAAAATGGCATGTACAATGTAAAAATGTAAAAAAAAAAAAAAAAAAAAAAAAAAAAAAAAAATGAAATAATCTTATTTTTTTCCAATTCTTTCATGCAATTTTTTTTATATACATGTATATTAGAAGGAGACATCACATCTATTTTCACATATAAATATTTTCAATCCATAGTAAAATACGTTGATTTATTAGAGTAAAAACTTTTCTTAACTTTAGTAAAAGCTTTGATATTATAATTAACTATAGTGAAATATAGTAAACAATAGTTTAGTTGAAATCCATCCTAATACAGTAATTGTTGCTTTCTTTGACCTAGATATCAGCAAAAATTGATATTATTCACCATGGTAAGTTTTTTGTATCTCTCTCTCTCTCTCTCTCTCTCTCTCAATTTGAAATAATTCAGAGAGATCAACATCTTTTGTAACTTAATTTGAAAATATTGAAAAAAACTTATGATATGCAACGAAAGCAACCTTATTCCTGCAAAAGAAATCCGTAATATAATCATCAGTTCGCAAAGTTGACTGTATTTGTTGCTGATTAATACATGAACCAATGGGAGCCCATTACTGATATCACTAATTTGCAGATCGACTGAAGCATTTGAGAATTTTTTTAATGCTTGAGGATTTTATATATGTTTGTTGTTGATTGATTCTGATTAAAATATCCGATAATCGATATCCCTAATATGCAGTCTATTTAAACAATTCTGAGTTTATATAAAGGTAAATTTGAGTAGAGAAACATTTGATTTTCTTTGACACGATAATGCCACTGTTTATTATTGCAAATCATGCACTGTACAAGGCGATTTACCTAATTCTTAGTTCACAGGATTAACATCTCCAATGTAATTCAGATCTGACTTTCGTTGTTTATTATCTGTTTGTACAATGAAGCATTTGTATTAGCACGGAACCAGAGATTTTGATGGTGACGATGAACTGCTATAAATAGTTAAATCGAAGTACAAGAGTCTTAGATGAATTCAGAGTGACTTAGTTGTATTTAGATAACATGTAAATGGTGCCTATCTGAAAAGATGTAGAATTGTTAGCTTCTGGAATATACACCTGTTCTATGAGCAAATATAATTTACGATTCGTTTATGATTATATCTACTCGTTTGGTATCCCCCTCTTTTCGACATACTGCCATTACATTTTGTTTGTTATTTTAGTCAATCTCAGCGAAATCTGGGATTTGGAAAGGATATTATACACAGTTTAACACCCGTTATCCTTTTACCATGCAACTATATCTTGAGAACTTCGATGGATCTGTTAAAGGCGAAGGCACTAACGGCATTGGAAATTTCATGATTAATGGAACATGGGACAGGTTCAGTGGGTCTATCCAGTTCACAAAGCAATATGTTGGTGCCCATGACGTGAAGTATAATGGACGGATATGCAATGATGGCAGAAAAATAGACGGAAAATACAACGTCATGGGTGGCACAGGAGAGTTCCATATGAACATTCAATAATACTTAGGGACATCATTTGAAAAAAAAATTAATGCCTTTCAGTTACTTTCCTTGGTTCTTTGTTATTTCAAGAACTTGGAGTAACTAAAGAAACTTTTCTGTGTTTGACTTAAAGTATGTAAAAACCGAATGGTGAATTTCTCTCAACTGATGGTAGCTTTTCTTTTATTTTCAAACAAACAATAATTTTATCTTATTCATTAAAGTGAATTGTCAGATAATTTTAATTTGAAGGTTCACAAGGTTTTTGTGGAAATTGACTTCAATCTTAACCCCATATTGTCAATTGCTAGAATATGAACACATATTGAAACACATATTGTATAACTACATTTTTATGGTATTTTATGTTTCAAAGCTAAAGCTGAAATACAAGATATACTTTTTATTTCTAAACTTTTAAATAAGGCACATGGGCCTTAATGCAACACCATATTCCATTTAAACTCTAGCAGCATTTCGGCTAATTCGTAAATTGACCCTCTTCCATCGAGTCTATAAAAGACTTTTGGATGAGGGTTATATTCCATCCAAATGTATAGATTTTACTAGTATTCTTAATGATGTGGTAACTGAAAGGTATCTTTCTACATCACGGTCTAATCAATTTCAGCAACCTATACTCTTGCTAGATTGCACATGTACATGAAGTCTATATAATTGATGTTTTTATCTTATGAATCATTTTCAATGTCATCTCCATTGGGAGATTACAAACTAAGTTTGAAAGCCGGAAGTGAAGTTCTAATGTATTCTGGTGGTCTGACAAATAAAAACGGACATTTATGAAGAATGACTCTTACACAGTGTGTTTTTATTTATAAATCTTAAAATTTCACGTAAATATTCAGAAACCAAATTTCTGAAATTTTACTTATAAAGCAAATGTATAAAAAGAATCCCACGTTAGTAAAACCTTATATCTAATAGTAGTTAGATTTTAATCTCCATGTAGACTATGTAGTCTTTAGGACATGGAATACTTTAAATGCCAACAGTTGTCTTTAGTCTTTTGATAATTACTAAGTACATGCATATAAAGGTTTGGGTTTTGACGGAAAAATGAAATGAAATAATCAGCTAGTCATAATTTTTTCTCTAATAGTGATGAAAGCAGAAGAACAAACAAGGTTACACTTTCTTATTTTTTTCTATTACTGATGACGGCATAAAAAGGAAGAGAAACACCATGATAAGATATAAATTTTTAATTTGTTTATTTATAAAATTTATTTAATATTTCACATGTACATACCCTTGGAACAGAGATTTTGAGACTGGAGGCACAAGGTGAAAAAAAAAATAAAATAAAAATTCGCATAAATTAATGGTTTATCATAGAAAGATTTTAGAAAATGCATATACAAAATGCAAAGAACAGATCCCAGAGTGATTCACTGAGTGTTACAGTGACTCAGACCTCGGATTTACTCTTAAGGGTTTGGTTTTGTTTGCAGCAAAGTGAGACTCACAAAAAATTAAGACCTTAATATCTCAAAAATTAAGCCTTGCTGACACTTGAAAACTGGTCCATGTCATCTTCATAATGAAAACAATCTCTGGGTATATGCAGCTTAATTGACACTTGCAGCAGTTTGCAGCTATGAAGTGCACAATACACCTGCAGGACTGCGCAGCTACAGGTTTTAGTAGTGCACCAAAAAATCCAAAAAAATGTGAAATAGTTAAACCAATTAAGTGGCTACAACTATTTGAGAAGAACCTTTGTTTTAAATGTAAACTCACTACAATAGGTACAATTCTTTAAATGCATACTTGTTAGTTCAACAAGAAAATGTTAGCCATGAAAGTAGTCCCAACCACATGGCAATGTGTTAAAAATAGAATTAAAGAAACTCACTGTTGATCTTAAAATAGCACTTTATATGAAAGCCCATATGTATCTAAAGTATTACTCTATGGTGTGTACAAAACACAGGGAAGTTAATGTTAGAAAAATAATTTTCACCTTAAAAATTATGCCAAGTAAGGTATGTTAAAAATCTGCAGGGGGAATGAAAGTGTGCAATTTAAATAAGAGGCCTGGCCCACAACGATCACTTGAGTCACTTTGGTGTTCTTCAGATTTCTAAGACATTCAATTTTCATAAAAACAAATTTGAGCCAATGTTGTGGCCCAACCCTGGGGTCATAAGGCCATGTCTAATCCAAAACTGATTCCACTACATGAGGATATTTCATCAACATGGCTTATTTGTTTTCTGAAGTTTTTTTTCCACATGTATACATGCATTTACCAATTTATATATAAAATCTAATCTCAGATATATTAAAAAAAACAAATAGGGAATATTTAAATATTATTATAATATTAGGTCTGGCCCATGATTTAGACCAACTTGAATCTTTACTACTTGAGGATGCTTGCATTAAATTATGAGTAAATCATTACCTTGTTGTTCATTAAAGGACGATCTTTTTCCTATCTGTTCCTATGTCAAACTTTGATACCCCTATTTTAGGGTTTAATTTTTATGGATGACAGAAGGACAGACACCAGAGACTCTTTTATCAGAAAAGTTCAATAGAGCCTCTGCTCAGATGACTTATAATGTAAAATGTCTTTGATTACTGTAAAAAAAAAGTCACCAAAAAGAACAAAAGAAAAGGATGATAAATGAACATTTTTTTATTCTTATTCACTTCCAGGATATTATATTTCTTTTAACATGTTAACCAGCATATGCAAGTTTGACTAATTTTTGTGAAAGTTTCTTTAAAGATATAAGGTATAATTTTATAATGAGCTTCAATTCTAACGAATTGAATATAACTCTAATATAACTTTAAGATATTTGAGACCTGTGTTCTAAGCATGGGTTTCACAAGAGTGACTTTAAAACATTTTTTTTTTTTTGCATTTAATGCGCTAAACAATAAATTAGATAAAACATTATTATAATATCCTGCATCAAGATCCCAAAATGTTCTTCATTGTAAACTCGTGACAAGTTCAAATGTATTTTTGTTTATGGTCATCATATGTGTTCTTTTTCAATGATGTTTGGAAAGTTCATGCATTTGTACATGCAATCATGAAATCAGAAATATTAACTTTCTCAAGTCATATCGTATGAAACTAAATCACAGTCTTCACATGTTGCTGATATTTTCTCCAACACTGATTTCCAAAAGATTAACTGTTAAGACAAACCAACATGGACCAAAACCTCTGTCATTTGAATGATCTCTTTAATTTTGAAATCTGTAAAATATTAAATATAAATAATTTATAACATACCACTAAAAAACCAATACTGTCGATCACTTTCAAAAAAGGAACTTGAATTGAAAGTTAAATCTTTACATCATGACTAAGTAAAAAGCATGCAAAGATAGACATGTAAATTCCAGGGTCAAAGGCTACACATTCCTCAGCAATGATGGTCACATTGTAAATGTTGGTCAACACTGATTGTTGCATTGAATATATCTCATTTTAATTTACAATTGTGTAGATGAGAGTAGTTTAATCCATATAGAGATTAATGAGCCTAATGTGTATACAAAGACGTCACCTATAAATAAGATCAAGGTAAACCCAAGTGATGGTCATGTTATCCTGCCTTGGGAAGTAGATGAAACAAGCATATAAGATCACAATTAAATAAAACAAACAAGTATCGGTACAAAATCTGAAGGTTAAATGACAAGGTAAGGATTGGATGGCAGAATTTTTAAAACCTGATATGATGACATGTGTGTTCGTAAGCTACAAGAAGACGATAAGAAACAGTTCCTTCCAAAAGAGATTGAAGTTTTCAATTATTTAAAAATGACCTCTGATGCGGCTTTTCTTTTTTCAGTCACTGTTCACCTAACATTTGTTTTTTATCGTTAAAGTCAACTGCAATATAAGCAATTATTTTTATTGGTTTATATGACATCACACATAAGGTTTGATTTTTCATGATTACGATACTTTATTCGCTCAAGCAGCCACTGGTAGGAGAGAGCTGTAGGCGTACTCCAACCATGGCTTGAGACAATGTGATGGACACATATACAACATTCACTTAAATAAGATCTTTCATCCAACCGCATATATATTTCTCATCATAAAAATTGTACATTCTTTCATGCTGTACACAGGGAATAACATCTGAATCCAATCATACAAAATGAAAATGACTAGTCAGCTCACTTTGATTATAACACCTACCTTATACCCTTATACACATGTCTATTAAATTAACAGAATCATTTCATTGTGATATAAAACTCACCTTACAGGGGAAGTTCTTGGGAGGGCTCCAACACAGGTATCACATGAAATGCAGAAATTGGCAGTCCAGAGAAAATATCTGAGCAGTGTTCTTTTTTTAGTGAAACAAGGCATTCTGTAATCATTGTAAACATACTTATAATAAATTTTAGGAAAAATGTTAAAAACAATTCTTTTAAATCTAGATATTAATATCAATCTTTGTTGAGGGGTGTCAGTATTTTAACTGAATGGTATTTATTCCCTGAAACTTTTTTCTCTGAGACATTATAAGAAAAGAGTTTTGCTTTAATCTCTCGAACATCAATGAATGTGAATTTGAATTTGATTATTGTTTGTTATTGTCTCATTGAAAGTCCCTTCCATTTTTTTTTCTTTTAAGCATTTTAACCTCAATGTATCAAACTATCAGATTTCTCGATTTTTTTTATTGGTACCATCAGGATAGAAATAACAAGGTTTGCCTGTACCATTAAAATGCAGGTCCTAAAAAAATAGCATTTGAGATAAAGTGGTGGCTACATATACATTCATTATTTTTTTTTTAAATTTTATAGAAAAATCTTAGAGGTTTCTACATGAATATTATGGTATTTATGGATCAATGCCAAGATTTACCTCCCTCCTCCCCCCCCCCCCAGCACCTTATCTCTTCCTTACCAGTGCAACCAACAACCTAAGTCTGATTTAGCATACGAAAAACTATCATTAAATGACCATTTAATTAAATATAAATATGCTTTTGATTCAGCATGCTCAATGGTTCCTTAAGATCAGGTTAGTCCCCCTTATTACTCCCTTTTTGATGAAACCAATGCAGTTGGCAGAAATTCAAGTTTTCAATCTTACTTACCATTTCAACTAGAGAAGATTCTATGCAAATTTCATCTAGAAAAAAATAATAATATTTTTCAATTTTGCTGCACTCTTCATTTGATGAACAATTTACATATCAAACATAAGCAAATTAAGTTGACATCCTTGAATATTTTTATCTTTTAATTTACTTTTCCCCATGAGAACTATGTACACTGCCCTGATCTGCAAATTAGAATGACTATGTCCAAAATGATGGTTTGTATACATAGTACAAACTTATGTGTATATTATTTATATAAATAATTAATAATACTTGCGTCTCTTTAACAAAAAGTGAAACAAAAAAGCAATAAAAATTGAATATCAAAATTTTGATTTACAAATAACACAACTGATTTACCATATATGTGTACTACGTAGAGCCACTTCACTTAGCCTTCATTGGACATTTAACTTGGTGTGTCTGAGGCTCAGTGAAGGATCTTACACAAAAATCGCTCATTAATGAAAACTAAATTTAGTTATTTACTCTACTCATAATATTTGAAACGCTATTATTGACTGAACTTTATTTTGATACAATGACGAATACTTTTAGTATTTTGAAACATAGTAACATTTATTAGAAGAACCTTAAATATTGCCCGCTACCAAATTGTGGTCTGCAAGAAACACGTGGAAATTCTCAGATCCTTCGTATAACGTTTAACCTTTTTAAAATTGATGTG